TGTCTGATCTTGAAATATATTTTACAGTCTTACAGTCACCTTATTACACGCACCATTATCGGTCTTTACTCTTTCCGTATCTCTGTAGCCTAGATTTATAGTTTTATATTTAGACTTCGTATATCTGTAATGTACAAAAGATGCTTGCTGGTGACCAATTGATAACTTGTACCTAATTAATGCACTAAAACATGTTCAAACAAACATTAGTAAATCGTCCCGACCTTCAAGATATTACAACTGTTTAATATCGTTTTTGCTGTTATGTGTACTTTAAACACAATAAAAAGATAACAAGTATGAAGATTTCAAATTGAAATGCATCTTTGACAAGAAATTGTCGTGTAGGTACATCACAAGACGATATACCGAATGGAGCATAAGCCGAGACGACCGACACCGTCAGCCGGCCGCAAGGCGGCGAGGGGGCGCTCAGACCGGATCTCAGACCCTAAAATAAAAACATCTATCGAAATAATAATACGCACTGCTTACTCAGGACAAGTACGCGAAACGAATGGCGTTGACCCCCTGAACATTCCCATGCTAAGTTGCGGCCCAACTGGATTTTTCTTAATGGTAGGGTGGTACTACGCTTATAGAACTGAATAGGCCTTTCAAACGTGTGTTTGGACTTATTAGCTTTTATTTCTAAGACTAGCTTTCATGGGAGCTTCGTTGCGGTTGGTATCGAGCATCGCAGAAATTAATGAATGGCTTGCTAACACAAGAGGTGGCACTTGAACTTTTATTTAACAAGATTAAATTTTCTATTGTTTAGCTACGCCTTAAAATATTTACAAACATGTTAGTTACATGTCTTAAACGAGTACCTTAAAAAGTATTGAATGCTAAACATATGTATATTAAATAGAATACAGGTAAATAAAACATTTATTTAGAAACAGAAACTAAATGCTACAGTGCAAATTCCGTTTGTCTATTATTATCACAATTGACCCCTTATCTGCAAGTTATAACAGGAATCACTCAAAAGAATCCCTTTCATCTTGTGAGAAAGTTTTGCATTGGATCAATCGTTCAGCAAAAAAGAAAGATTAAGGGTTTGTGAATAAATTAAAGATAGATGCCCCCTATTCACAAAATAACCTAGATACATAATAGACGCATAGGAGAGGTCAGATGTCACAATGAATTTAGACCTTTCACCCTCCTGTCTGGATAGGTTCCTTTCGAACTTTCCATACATCCGTCCGGACCCGTCTTATGAATTGTATAATTTAACCGTGCCGTCTTTTCAGCCATTCTGCTTTTGTTCGAAGAGCAGACAAACCCGTTGCCACGGCATAAAGAAATAAAAAAATTAATGGATGTCCGAACAATGGGGAGAAATTGTGATAGGTGAGAGTAATCTTTTACAACCAGCGACAATTCTTGTTCTTTTATTTTCCACTAAGAAACCCCAATTGTTGAGGTTAAATAGGGTCAGTCCTATGGGACGATCCAATTCCAATTTTGAATTGTAAATTTTATTTGGTGCAATTACACGTAATCTTATTCACATTTTATTCTTAAGTAGATTGCCAAATGAGAGTGACCAAAGAAGCTGGACCCTGAGTTAGAAATTAGATACTTAAACGTGAAAATTTTATTAATGTTTTAAGTTAGTTGGAAGTGTTAACTTTAAAAAATTTGTGCTGTTTATAACGTGGTTCTACAGTATTTTCGCTCTGAAGGATAGTAAATATAATCATCATTGGGGTAAGTTTTCTAATGGTTATTAAGTTATAGCAGGTTTACTTTAACATTTTTCATTGTAAAGGCTAGTGATTGATGAAACACTAGAGACAAAGTTTGCCGTGTTGTGGCGTCACTTTGCCCAGTATTTGTAAACAAACCAGTGAGGCTGTCTGGATTATCTTGTCGTGAACAAACTTTGGTGGCAGACAGTCTGTCTAACCAGATTCCTGTTGATGTCTACGTTAACGAAGTAAAGTTTTCTTTTCTTTAGTGTTACGTATTATAAAGTAACAAAAACTGGACTTCATAATCGAAGAGATTATTCGGGGTCATTTTTGAATGTGGTCGTGGGCATCATAATGGTATCATATGGTATCAGTTTGTCATCATTCCTCTTGCAACGCAGCCATTTTTGTACATTCATTCAGGAGATCATTAAGTGCAGTTTTGATTTAGTCGGTTCAATAAATTGTAAACCATTACCAATTAGAGAATTAAGATGTTAGTTTGGAACAGTGTTCTGAACTGTTCTGATCGCGGTAAGCATTATTCTCCAGTAAGGTATTTCTAAAATGTCTAGTTATCTTTATATCTGGCTTTCCTTCGAAGTCCACTTGTAGGATTTTTGTTACAGATACATATCTAATAAATTATAAGTTTTTTCCGTTTTTATGTGAACTGTAAAAGCAAGATGATTTAGTATTGTGACATTTTTTTTTAAGCAAACAAGTCTTCGAGTTTAAATAATTGCTATTTTGTTATGATTACTCAACCTGAGCAACAGCAAAACAGTCTTTTTTGCACAGGGATCCCTCGCAAAGAGACGAGTCGGACATAGATATCCATATGTAAATGCGTGCATGCCACTTGAGAATGCTCGGGGAATTTCTTTAAAGAATTCACAAATTACGTCGACTGCACCTGTTGATCTGTGGTTGCTGTGGTTTGCTTCATTTCTCCGTACGTATGTCAATGTGGCTAATTTTAGGAGTGACTTTGTTTATCAAAACAATTTAGTTTGAGTATTTAGGTCACTTCTCAGTATCAGATTTTGATAATTTCTCCTGAAAAGGGATTTAGTCATTGTGACGTTCACAATACCTTAGAAATGAAGTTACGAATGTCGGATACAGGTGGTTAAATTATTTTATGCATGAAATTTAAAGAAATCATTTTGTCTCCCAAATCTTGACAATCCATAGTTTTACAAAGGGAAAGTGAAATTGTTTGTTACGCTTTCACAGCTAAATCGTTGACGCGCTGATATGATTTAAGATTTTTCGCACAGTTTTGGTAGCATTTGACCCACAGCATTATTTTTTATTACATTGACGTTTTCTATGAAGGGTTTTCGAAATTAAAGAAAACCGGAAAAGCAAAAGAAGCTGCGCGCTTATGTTAATTTATGTAATAGAGCTATTGCGTATTTGCGTATCACGATGCGAATTTTTCCGTGTAGTTTAAATACTGATTCAGAACTGAACCTGACCTACCCATTGCTGTGAAAGTTTCATAAGTACGTATATGACGCTGAAAGATTACAAGCAGGGGCCTAGTTAAAGTTACGAGGGTGACTTAACTAATTAATATCAGTACATTTATCGTTTTGTATTTGTATAAGTAACTGTATTTATATTTTTGCGTGAACAAAATCGGAATATACATTTAGCATCTTAATTAATTAGCTTAGGTACGATGCACCTTAACTATGTTAATTATCATTACCTAATTACGATAATGCAATAAAATTGGAAGTGATGGATTTTAGTTAATCGCTGAACGATTTTAAAGCGCAGGAACGCTAAGAACTTCAAATTGTGAACCAATAGTAGCAAGAATAGATCAACTCTACCGCTTTTCGCGAATAGAAGGAAGTACGCACACTACTACAACTACATGACTTGTTATTCTTGTTAATACGTCATCATTACGTTTGATTGGCAACGCGCTAAAACGAACGCCCTCAGTTAATGATCCACATATTCAAGAGGCCGGTCTTCGACGCACTATGTAAACGTTAGAAAATTAGAAATGAGGAACTCTATATCGATTCATGATTGTGCATGTGTGCGTGGTACAGTGTTATTATTCGAATTATGTAACTGTCATGATATCCATGGCAGCAACGTGAACTTGGCTGCATGCTGTTGCTGCAGTGATGCTGCACTGAAGTAAAATCAAGACTTCAGCATACCTACTAAACGTGTTGCGAATATTTTTATGAATTCTATCTAATGTACAGGTAGGGAACTTTAACATCTATTTATGTGTATCTAGTTTTTAACTTCAATTACAATACAAACTGCGAAAGTGTGTAGGCTATCTATAAAAAAATACAAAATAATTGCGTTACAAGTTTCAAAAAGCGCGCTACAACCTACAACATAACATTCTATAATAGCCACATCTGTGACACCAGCTCGCACCAGGGCCAGACGTGTCTATAGTAAGAAAAAAAAACAGTTTGTGTTCTATTGAATATGCGACGCGCCGCGCATTTTGCAAAGGTCGAAAACCTCCGCGACAATAGACAAGAATCTTTACGATTGACTCGCATAAATATTTCTATTAATGCTCAATTAATATTCGTTATAATTACAATCTTGTGAAATACACCAAACCTACACGGTAGATACTAAGAGGCCTAAAAACTATAAGGTACCTTCCTACCTTACCTACCTATAAAAACAACAAAAAATATTTATTTGCGACGCGACGCGTCGATGATTACTCGTGCCGGCCGCGAAGACGCCCTTGAATTAACAAAAAAATAAACAAATAGCAATGACCTCGGCACACATGATAGACACGATTACTTACACTATTATTCAAACTAAGTCAGGTCAGATTAGGGCGGCTATTATAATTCATAGTACTCGTTTTGTGAACACGTTATTATAAAATAGAACTAGAATCACCGGCTAGTATAATTTGATAAGATGACGTCATCATCGTCTGGGCCCCCAATTTGACGTCAGCTAGTACAGTGACCCACAAATCTACAGACACAATAAATTCAGCAACGTACGATGCGAAACCGCGCGAGGGTCAATGAACTGTTGACGTATTTAAAATACGCACAAGTAGGTACCTTATCGCGAAATGTAGTACGCGGCGCGGCAAGCGGAGCGAGCTTGCTGTGCTATGTGTTTGCAAAATGGTTATTTATAGATGTGAGTGTCCATGACGGATGGTTCGTGCTATTTCTAAGGTCCCGAGAAATGGTGAGTAATAACATTTCATGATGTAAGTTTGTAAAAGTTCATATCAATGAAAGATGAAACACAATATTTACTTACAAGGAGTTCCAATATTTCTAAGTTCGTACAAAGAGTTTTACCATAGAATGAATGATTCTGTAATAACTGGTCGATACAAAATAGTATAGGAATCGAATCAAAAAAAGAATAAAATAATCACAACTCAAATTTTATCAGTTGTCAATTAAAAATAGTGATGTTCTCGACTTAATCGTAAAATATCGGTTTTTTGGTTTAATTATCAAGTGGAAAAATAATGTTGATTGAAAGTTAAAATGTTCTTCTACGGAATGGGGATTGTCTAAAAAAATTGAGGAGTTGTTTTTATTTTATCTTCGTCTAAAATGAAGTATTTTAAGATACTAATTTGAGTATTTCTCCAAAACAGTGTAAAGTAAAATTTATAATCGACTTTAATACATTCTGTCCTTCTACGTCATCTTAGAATGTATTTGACATGACAGTTGACGCTTCGCAGATGTCAAATCTCTTCTTCATATAGATTGCGTATTAGTAGGCAAAGGCAGTCCTCTATACCGCCTTAAAATGACGTCATTCAATGTCAAATAAAGGTCATTCATATTTCTTTAAAAATATCAGTAATTGTACCGTATTTCAGAGTGTCGTATAGATAAAACTATTAATAAACCTTATTCCCCGAAATGGTTTTTCAATAAGCCCGAATAAAAAAAAATAGACAATCCCCATTATTAATTAAAATTATCATATGAACAAAATCTTTTCTCAAGACTTAGGTTTGCGCCGGAAACTCGGTGAGAGTTCGTTTTGCCGCTATACTTTTATCGCTATTGATATTAAGAAAATGTGAGAAAGGAAGTGTGTCTGTCGTGGTGCTACAAGACACACTACACCAGAGTTCTTTCTTTGTAAAGAAAGGAAGAGTCTGCATCAGTGGCTTGAGCTATTTTCGACCTCATGTTAGTTGAAATTAAGATTCATATTGGCAGAGAAAGGGCCGTATTGGAACCTTGTCCGTACAAAACGAGACACCCGCAGTAGCTGCCCTACCTACCTACCCACATAACGCGACGGATACAGATCCGAGTTTCTTACTTACACATACAAGTGAAGTACGAAGGCCAGTTTTAAATATGTGTATGTGTCGCGAATACATACGGCTTCGATGATCAGCAGGTGTAAGCGAACTAAAGGCGAGGGGTTATTGCGATTAACTCTTTTATCCCTTCGTTTCCATATCAAAGAGTAATGAACCTTGTTCTACTATTGGACAACGTCGATTAGTAACCGTGTGATTTTTATTGAATGAAATGCTACATTATTTAAGTAATTCTTTATTCAAGTTATAGGAACCTACTTAATATTGATGTTTTATTTGTAATACGTAGGTAATGAAATCTTATTAGAACCATTATTGATGGTGTCTAATTAGTTTTATACTTATAAGAAAATAGTTTTCCCAATAAGAATTGTAATATTTATCTATTTTAAAAATAATGTTTATTGGAGCCTACTTATTGGGTTTTAATTAGTTTTTTTAGAAAGTTTAATAATATTTTTGTTTTGATTTGTATTCGAATTAAAGTTTGTAACTATAAACAACTTGATATGAGACAAAACCTAAGTACTCAACTAATTGTAGCAACAAAGGCGAAACTGGCAGTGAATCGATTGCGAGTAACGAAGGTCAAAGAGTTTGCAAGTGTGCGTATGTATGCAAGTATGCAGGCGAGCTCGGTGCGGCGTCGCTGCTGCACGCCTGCACCGGTGGTTGCAACACCCTCCCCCCTTCATTCTCGGCTTCTCGCTCGTCGCCGTCTTGCCGCTAGCCTGTCTCACCTCGCGGCCGGCAGCCTTGCGCGACGCGCCGCGCTCTTTCACATTCAAAATTATTCGCAATCGCAACCATTGCAAAAACTCTCTGTGCAATAAAATACTTAATATTTCGATGCGTTCACAATTAGTCTGAAAACAGAGAGGTAGTTTAAAGTTAACAAAGAAATTAAGTGCCTTTTAAACTTTGAATGCACTCCTCGTTGCATGTCCCGCGCGCGTCGTTATGAGAACCCCGTACTGGCGGTCACGTTGACGTCGCGCCGCCATATCTGTCTCGGCCACCAACTAGCAAAATTAATAGGTAATTATTTCGTGTACAGTGTTTTTGATTGATTTTGTCGTTCAGTGATTGTGTATCAAAGTGTTTTCTATCTTCTGGCATCCGTTGTGGTGATTCCAATTGGATTCTTTTTGGATATTGAGGCGCGCGCCGGCCGGTTCTTATCGGGTGCAATGCAGTTGCACTCTCAACTTATTGCAGTTTTGCATTCACCAAAGTTTCATGCGCGGAAAGTTTCTAGTGTTTATATCTTGCTCCAAGAGGATTGTAAATGTGTTTTAAAGTGATTATTCGTTAAAAGTGATATGTGAAGCGGTTTCTAAAGAGCTGTCACAGTTTGCTGTGTTATTTCGGTCATTGACCGCCGGAATTCGCATCTCCTTTATATTAGTGGTGTTGTTAGATTTTTTGACATAATTCCGATTTTCGTTTTTTAGGCTCCAAAATTGTGTCACTTCACTAGAAGAATGCAATGACACGCGCATTCGCTTTTTGAAATTTCACCTTCACCCGGATGGAATGAGGAGTGCACAATCCCATTGTTTCACAGTTTCATATGTTTGAACATCATTTGTTTTTTTGTTTTTCGGACGATTAGAGAGTTATCATTTTCTTCCAAAATTACAAAAATTACAAAATAAAGGTAAATATTATAATTTTCCTCCGTATTATATAAATTTTAAATATATTATTTTAGCAAATTATTTGAAGGCATTGCTCACACGCGTGGCTTCCTTGAATCGCTGTTCAATGACATCATCTGTAGGCAAGCCATAAGAGATCCCAATTCTTAGTGAATTAAATCATACTAAACTTTATTCTAAAGTTATATGGAACCCTCCTAAGCTGCCACAATTGAGTGTAGTGTGTGTAAAATGATAATGAATGTGCAGAATGGCGGAGGGCAATGGAGAAATACCCATTGAAGAGGTACCTGGGAAGGACTCCGATGTTGGCCGGACACCGGATTACCGCAAACTCATTGACTATGGCTTGGATCCTAAGGTAAGGTTTGATTCCTAGTAGTCTTTAGTTAATATGGTTAATATTGAGTAGCTTGGAGTAGTTTAAATGCCCTACAAATTACTGTTTTGCTGTCGAAGAGTCTTGCAAAATTGGCAATTTGCAAAAAACAAGTTAGCCGATATGAAACTTAAGTTGACATATTTTATGAAATATGTTGGTATATTTTGGATGTATTTAGTGATATCTTGTAGGTATAGGTTAGTAAATGATAATATTTAATGTATAAGTAATAACAGAAGTAATGTGTTTGAAACTGTCCGGCTTAGCAGTGAGCCTCACAGAACTCAACCAATAAGTGCCTCAAGGCAAGCTCAGTCAAATATCAGTTCATCTTAATTTTTTATTCAGTTAAAATGTCTTATTATTACCTTTTTACATTATTTTAAAATTTAAATTGAAAAATATTATAATATAAATTATTTTTCTTATACTACTTACATACTGGAATATTAAATATCAATAATTTGATAGCAATGTATTCTTATTGGAATTTAAATATTCTAATAAGATGTTTTTGATAATAATGTTGCTAATAATAATTATATTATATTATTATGGTATGTGTTATATACTCAGTACATGTACAAAACACAGATCTGACTCATTACATAAATAGCTGGCTAGTTAAATTTTATAGATAAGGGTTCTAAACTTATGGGCTTATAGGATGTTTCAAAGAAAGATTTTCATTTAAATCAGTACCACTAATAAAGGCTTAAATTGTAATATCATTATACCAATGTGTATGTACCTAAATAAATTACAAAAATGTCTAGGTACTTTAAAACTGAATGTGTAGAAAAGTTAATCTGAATTAACATTACTAACTCACACTCAGTGGCTGTAATAAAATCAAGTTTAAACATCAGTGTGTAGGTAATAAAACAGGTTTAGTACTCAGTAGGTACTGATTCACACATCTTATCATAGACTAGGTATTAGTTCTTAGAAATCCATGTGGGTATTCCATACTTTATGTTGTTACACTTGAACAGTAAATGCCTAAAAGAAAACTTGTTATGTTGGTAGCATATATTTGCACTTTCTCTGTTTGATAGTGTTGTCTTGACCTCTGCCATTTATTATCTGGGCACCTGCAATGCATACATACAGGCTTGCATGTTTTTATAATTGGTTGCCACTCAGTGCTATCAAATATACATATTGTTACTGGATAGCTGTGCTTGTACTGGGCTAATCAAAATACCTATGTACTTTTTATTGTATACAAAATATAACCTAATTAGAATAAATAGGAAATTAATAATGTAGGCAAATTAATAGTGTGTAGGCAAATCTAGTTCCAATTCGATTTTTAATAATCTTATTGGAAAAATATCTAATTGATATCAATTCCAGTTAACCAACTGTGTTTTAAAAAAGGTTTGCTATCCATCTATACAGACAATGGAGTATGAATTTATATTCGAAAATCCTTTGATACATATTGTGTGTACTTGGTGGCATGAGTAGACGTCGTGGGCAGTAGACGTCGAGAGGGTCGAGGACGGTGCGGGGGGCGGCACTGAGTAATTTTCCTCGTCACTGTCCTTTGCAACTTAAAGTATTAAATTATTTATCCTTTATTTCGAAGAAATACTTACACAGGCCCGCCCATAGCTGGCAGTGTGTGTTTGTTACATAGTAACACTTCATTCTCTTATCTTCACACATAAAATTATTTACTTGCGTGAGTTGCGATGGTCAGTGTACTGCTACATTATCGTGAGGATAGCTAAGTGATACGATATCGTTTATGATATAATATTCTACATTTACTCTTATGATAGGTACCTGCCTAATCAAAAATTGCATTCTCAAGCTTTAATTACTTTAATGGGCGCGTAACTGATAACGTACCCATCAAGTACATAAAAAATACCTAGTTCGGCATGTGTAGGTAATATCTGATATCATTTATGAAATCATAAGAGTTGACAAGTATTTTAATACAGGATATGGTGGCCTTAAAGTATCTTTTGATAAATTCCCCGAGTAATAGCAGGGCATTCATCGGTGTTGCGTACGCGACGCGGTCTCAACTTAAAATGGAATAGACAATAACGATGTACCTACTCACCGTTGAATAGCCACCGTGCGAAACTCGTACGCTGTGATTTCTATATCGCTAGAAATTGTATTTAATGGAGAATATAATGTCGTTTCCAGGTAGCAGCCAAGCTCGACGACATTTATAAGACTGGAAAGCTAGCGCACGCCGAACTGGATGAACGTGCGTTAGATGCCTTAAAAGAATTTCCATCCGACGGTGCTTTAAGTGTTCTTGGACAATTTTTAGATTCAAATCTCGAGCATGTATCTAATAAAAGTGCTTATTTATGTGGAGTCATGAAGACCTATAGGTGAGTACCCATGTTTTATTATTTCGCTTGGCAACACGATCATAATATTGGATGATTGCCAAACTGCCCGGTATATCTAGGTCACAATCTTAAAAAATTGATTTGACATATTATAGGCCGCGTTATGGGACAACCGTTGAATTTAAATCGCGCGGCCCCCTGCCTGAGTAACTAGGAAACGATGCGGTTTTATATACTGCACGACCTTGTCTCGGAATGGCAATGTGAAAATCGACGCAGAATTTAAAAATACCTTTTTTGTACAGCATCAAGCCTTGACGAAGCCAATCACCGGCTAGGGAGTTTCCGACCAATCAAAATTATTGTTCCTACAGACCGAATTAAATATGTCGTGTCGAAGTGTCGACCTTTAAGAGAAGAGGTCACTTCGATACCGACCATTAAAATGCAATAAAACTGATTGTCGTTTCTGAAATGCCCTCATAGTGACATTAGGTTAGCACTTTTCGGTAGCAAAGTTGTGCCTCAATAGCTCTTAACTGAGGTAGTAGTTACGTTAAGGGATTAATTGTTGGATATTACCGCGTTGAGGTAGGTTAGCATTTATAATTGGGGTTTCTAGTAGAAAATAATGTACTTGAGGAATCTAATAGTCAAATCTTTACATCCTGATATTACACCGTGTGTTTATGTGGTACATACAACGTGTTTGTATCCAGTAAATATGCCCCAGAGTTCAGAATAACTTGAGACAGTGGATGAGGCGAGAAAGTGACCCGTTAATTGATACGCGACACGGTGGCTGTAGCTGGAATGGTCGCTCTGTGACGGACTGACGGATCATTTTGCTTGTGTCCTCGTGTTTATTTGTGCCGCCCGTCGCAAGATTAGATTACGGATGGTCATTAGCCCCTGTGCAGTCGTGATGCAGAACCTGTTTGCGAGATTTAATAAAATGCTAATTGGAATTATCCTTAGTGGCCTTATTGTTAAGTTGGGTATGCAATTTTAGTTTCCAATTTTAATAGTTATAATTATCTCGTAAATTGAGTTTGTATCACGAGTGTTTGTTTCTGTACGAGTATTAAGTGCCTCAATTGCGCAGTGTCTGTAACATGACTGTTGAACCCTGTCTCGTTTGATTCTCTAAGGTTTATTTGTTAAGTGATTATTGTACTCAATAAAGCCCCACAATGGCAAAGTACAATAAAAACTCAGTTCGAATTTGAAAGTTAAACACGTTAAGTCATAAATTGTTGTAAATTTTGTGAATACTTAAGTGCAAGCCACGTACTTTTGGTACTTCCAAAAAGAATTGATGAGTGAACTGTTGTATTTCAGACAGAAAAGCAGAGCGGGTGTCCAAGGAGCGCCCGCGTTGGCTTCAACTGTCCCCGTGAAGGGCCCCGACGAAGAGAAGATCAAACAAATATTAGCCCGGACCGGGTACACGTTAGATGTTACCACAGGTCAGTACACTAGCTGAAAAGGGACCACAGACCTTTGACCATTAGATAACTAATGGAGAAATTAGTTTATAGATAAGGAGAAGGAATCTGTAAATAGACGCAATCATTTTGAGTTACAATCTAATTCTAAACAATTCAATAAGTGTGTAATTAACTATGTTTTAATACTTTTGTCGTGGAATAATTGATTCCACTCACATTTTCTTCTGCGATAGCAATAATTTTAATTGTACGCAAAGTAGTCGGTCGATTTATTGCTTACTGCCTATCTTGTTTTTCCACATTTTTACTAAGCCGTACCGGCTGCATTCTTCAAAATAAAACAATGTTATTTGATTGTGAATGCAACGTGCGCACACGCGTACATTGTACATGCGAATAATAAAGTTCTCAAGTTGTGTGCAATGCGGCGCGAAGGACGTGTGTACTTCATTATGTTGTCCTTTCTTTCATTTGTCAAGGATATCTTTGTTGCAATATCAAGTATTCGTATAAAATTTGTAAAACTTATTCTATGTACAACCAATTACCAATTTCAAAGTTGCTTTGGCAATTATATTATGAACATCGCTGAGAGATTCCTACTTCTTAATACCCCCAAATAAGGGGCTCTAAATCACTGTCATACTGTGCGTAGTTTTACAGCTCTGGATATAATCCAATTTCGATTTAGGTACACTACATAAAATCATGAACACTTGCTCTCGAAGCTACAACTAGTGCTTATTAGTTGCGCTTGTGATCATTAGACCAAGCATACAATGTCTAGTGACAATGTACAAATTTTTTTCATTTCTGTAATTTCAGACACATTTTTTATTTATTATATTAGTGTAGAAACCTTGCTTGACTGCCTCCAAAGTATTATACAACTTTCGATTTCGAAACTCGGTAATAATAGCACAGACAGAGTTTGATTTTCGCCCAGTGTTTCGCAATCGCTCAGTCCCTAATAAAGTAACTGACGAATATTCATGACTAGCTGCTTACTTGTAGCTTTGCATGCATGGAATTTAGTAGGAATGGTATAAAAGCGGCCTATGAAGTCTACGTAGTGTCCTTGAAAAGTAAGCTGAAGTTGTAAAGTAGATGACATCTAATAAAAAGGAGCATTTCTACGCAGTGTTTTTCTGGTCTAGCATTTAAACTCTATTTGTAGTGCTGTTTACGTATTCAATATTAGTAGGTGTGATATTTACTCATTTTCAATTGTATATAACAATCAGATTAGAAAACCTAATTAGATTAGCAATCTGATTGTATAAGAATAGGTTCTAATAAGAAAATTGAATTTTCTTACCATTGCAGGTTCTAGTAATAATTACCGGAAAATGAAAATTATTCATTAACGGAAAATGAAAATTCTTCGTCATTATAACGAATGTTCATTTTCCGTTCATAATTCATAATAAAACTATTTAAGAGTTTGCGGCAAGTTAGTATCAGAAAGTTAAGAGTTTCGATTATATTGAACACAGATTCAATATTTGAGGATTCAATTCGCTATGGTCCTATACTCTGGTAGTAGTGTGTATTCTGATATGATGTTGCCCTGGCAGGTCAACGCAAGTACGGTGGGCCGCCGCCCGGGTGGGAGGGCGGTACGCCGGGCGCCGGCTGCGAGGTGTTCTGCGGGAAGATCCCGAAGGACATGTACGAGGACGAGCTCATCCCGCTGTTCGAGCGCTGCGGCACCATCTGGGACCTGCGCCTCATGATGGACCCCATGACGGGCACCAACCGCGGCTACGCCTTCGTGACGTTCACGACGCGTGAAGCCACGCAGCGCGCCGTGCAGGAGGTGAGCCCCATGTCCGCCGCGTAGTCGCGCCGTCTCCGCACGCACTGTCGTTCGGGGGAGAGGTAGTCCGTTAGTCCGTACGTGTTAGAGTAGCTAATGCATGTTACGTGATGTTCTATATATATTTTTGGTTAGTATCGTTTGGAAACTTTCATTTTACTTTATTTAGTCGATGTTGCTCCTGCTTTGACTATTGGATCCGATATACCTGAGCTCTAAATTCTGCTGAATCTATGATGAAAGCAAATTACCACTCCCTCGAACTTTAGTGTACAATAAGCCGTAGAGTTGTTGAACAAACATTTGCTACAAAGATTGGTGCCATCTGTGGGCACAGAGCGCGTCCTTGGCGGTTTGCAAATATTTTGATAACCAGCGGCCTGCGCCTGCGCCGATAGTGCGGCACCTATCTTTGTGCGATACATGGATGTTATCGAGCACATCTGTACCAATAGCCAACATTACAGCACACTGTGTTATCGCAAAACTAAAACAATGGTGCAATTGTTCATTATCAGCATATCACGATTGGTAACACAAAATTGTGTCAAAACTCTAAAGCTTTTCTGAGGATTTTTTATATTGATTAAAATTGGTGTTATTAATTTGAAACAAAATTATTCTAATTTGACGTCTACTTTCCAGGTGACTCGCCGAAATGTTTAAGTATATTCCCTTGACAGATTAACAGTATCACAGCACTTAGCTGCCACGTGTTTGGCCCCTCGCCCTGCGCGCGCCCCCGGCGGAACCATCACGGTCCTTCTGCGCCACTCTCGTCTGCTGAAGCAGAGCTAGTCTGTCAGTGCCTTAGTCCGCAGCATCATGATGGTTCCTCCGAGCGCAGGGGGAGTGACCAACCCGCGGCGTCACTTGCAAGACTACTAGTACTCATCAGCCAGTATTTTTGCAAGTTCCCAATCATTTGCCTGTCGAATATGTTCACAGTCACACTTGGGAGACTTAGATTTAAGCTTCTTCTATCATTTAAAAAGCATGTCATTAATATCCCGCTCACGGCGGCCATTTGCACTCATCCGCACTAAATGATTCCCTTTTGTATCTGCTCACAGTATAATAATATAAAGTTATGATGTTGATCGCTTCGTGGCAAGCAGCCGCCGTCCAATAATTAATAATTATGTATAATCACTGAATTTGTGTACATGTGCAAACATAACACCTATAAACTGATCTAGCCTCGCTTGTCCTGAGATATCATCCCGTTCTTACTGTTGCACCTCGTTCAATTTTAAGTTGCTTTAATTTTATTTTATTTTTGTTACCATGACACGTACTCGCTTCTTTTTATTTTCACTTCATCAAACGGTCCACTTACAGGGTTAACTTTGAATTGGCTTCGAAAAGTTCTCCAACTGAGAATTTAATATATCTCAGGCTCTCCTCTTTGCTCCGTACAACACTGTCGGCTTATCATCCAAATTCAGTTAACTCATTACGATTGGCTCTAACCGTCATCATCTCTCGCGCGTCGCTCGTCGCGCGTCGACGAGGCAAGCCTCGCAGGCCTACGGCCACAAGGGTCCGAATCGACGCCCTTTTTCAAAATTTTTCCCTTGTTATTTTTCCCACAGCTCGATAATCACGAAATAAAACCTGGGAAGACTCTGAGAATTAAGATTAGCGTACCGAATCTGCGACTTTTCGTCGGCAACATTCCCAAGTCTAAAGGCAAAGAGGAGATACTGGAAGAGTTTGGTAAATTAACAGGTAAAGTGTCACTCGAATGAATTAAGGAGTTTATAGAGTTGTCGGGTTGAGTGCGTGGGGCTTGGTGTGGACCGGCTCGGGCTCCCGCTTGCGTCCCGCTTGTCCCTGTCCTGCGCTCCCTCCCGCGATCTCCAGTCATACGGCCGCCAGCCGGGCTGGCCGCCGCCCAGCGACCCGGCCCCGGCCCAGGCTATTCTCCCTCGAATTGTTCTTGCAGCTGAATGATTATGAAATTCGAAAGGGGAAAAAGATTGGCGTAACAGTTTCCTTTAACAATCACCGGTTATTCGTGGGGAATATCCCTAAGAATCGAGATCGGGACGATTTGTTTGAGGAGTTTACTAGGCACGCACGTAAGTCCTTGTCGAATTCATAATAAGTGCTACTCGGTTGATAAGTTAGCGAGCCGCGGAGCACCGCGCCGCGCGCGGCCGCAGTGCGGCCCGGCCGCGGACC